CTTCCTTCCTTCCTTCCTTCCTTCCTTCCTTCCTTCCTTCCTTCCTTCCTTCAGCATTGCCACCCATCTCAAATGCATGACTCTGAGTGGCTAGCAATTAAAACCAAAATAAAACAATAAGCTAAAGTATAAACAACATGAAATAGCCATGAGACACCAACACATAACAAATATCCGCTGTTAATTCAGTCCAGAAACCCCATTCAAGAACCAAGTTTTTTCAGTCTGAAATAACTGTACATCCTTGTCTAAAGGCAAAATTTTGTCCACCCACATTCTGGTCAATTTAGCTACGACATGAAAGACCTTTTACTGCTGATTCTGGAAAAGGGGGAGGTAACACCTCTCCAGTGAACACAATGACTGAAAAATCACAAGATTCCTATGTCCAACATATGACTATGAAATATACTGTAGCATGTGCTGTGTTTACTGTTTAACATTGTCATTTACCCTCATTGTTGCACTTGTACAAAGGCTGTTGTCTACATACATACCATTACTGTTTTTGTTGTTTATAATGGTGTTTTTTGTTATTTTAGTGCAATATCTATACCTACAGTAAATGATATGTTTTCAGGCAGATATTTGCTTGCAAAAGATGTCATACTTATTTCATCAGATATTTTTACAGAGAATTTTGCCTTGATTCTGTATTGATAACAGCAACTCTTCTATTACCGTAGAAACTGGTGCCATAATCCTTCCCATTTATGAATTTTATTAGCAACAGCTGGAATTATTTTACTTAGAGTGAAAGTGAGATAAATTTAAACTGTTGTATAATTTGTAGCATACAAATAAACCCAGAAACCATTTGGACCCAGGTGTGTATGTGTTGTTGGTTCAAACCAATTTCCATTTAATTGCTCACTTGGGAAATAATGCAAATTATACTGTATGTTGGAAATGTATGTATCACATATCCACCTAAGATTATTCCTTTGAAAATCCATGAGACTTCTGTTCCTAAACTCCCTAGCTACTCTTTCAAAGTCCAAAATCCATCACATGGAAAAGAAATTTTTATATTTTAAAATATAGCAATGTGGTTGTGTATATAGTCAAGATAAGAAATTCATTTTTGAAATTAATCATTCACTTGATTTAAAAAACTGTTTTCCACACACAACGTGGAAGCTCTGCAGCCAACTATTTGCTTTATCACTAAGATGCCCCCAATGACCATCTTTTTGGGCTCTGGGTGTCAAAAGATTTAGGGTGCACTTCAGACATGCAGTATCTTATTCTTTAAAATGTTAGTGGTGGTGAGGATATAGGACGCTTAAGTGTTCCTTTAATTTCTGCTTCTCCTCCTCCAACCGGTCTTTTTATTTATAGAATTAATATGTATTTATTAGAAATAGAAAGGAATGACAGTCTTGGAAGGAAGACAAACACCAATAAACATTCAAATCTAGCACGTTATAGGAAAATATAGCTCTCTAGGACTAGGTATTGTTGTAGTTTAGCCCAGTTTTGCTCATGAATAACCACAAAATACATTCAGTTAAAAAAAAAACCCTCCATGCATGTAGGAATTAATGCAGTAATTGCATTCAATCTCTAATTAAGCCAAGGTTCAGAAAAAAAAATCTGTTTTTAATTAAAAATTACTATAAATTTATTCAGAATAACTGCTTGTGTGTAAAACTAACATCAGTTACTGAAATAACTTCAGATGGAAAGTGTTCCATAAGACCCAGGGAAGAACTACCAGCCACTAACATGCCATCCTAGTTATGAACAAATACTCCACCTATATAATGTTACATTAATATAAAGAGGCAAGATGAAGAGATACCTTTGAAGCATTAAAATTCATAATCCACTTGGCATGGATAATATAGGCCTATATATGATGTAAGTTTGGTTTCAGTGTAGTTCTCCAAGACTCATTATCCTTAGAAGACATATTTAGTCAAATTATTAGTATATTAAATTTTATGATAAGGCCACCACCATCTCTTACTTTGTAGGAAAAAATATTAATTTCACGGACACACAGAAAAGTTTTCCACAAAAACTGATAAAATTATAATGGGAGGGAAAAAAAGAAAACAGAAGAAATCTAAGCTTACTTTCAGGACAATTTTCAGCTTAATAGAACTGTCCACACCAGAATGATCCAGTTGAAAATTTTGTTCAAGTGTCATCTCAGGGTTCTTTAATAAGCGAGCAAGGGAAATCACCAAAGTCCCAAGGGCATTCTCCTTCTCCTTATCTTTGATCTAGAACAAGGAAAACAGAGGCAGTACAAATAAGCAAGACAAGTGACTCTTGGCAGTGATTTAAACCTTCCCCTTTCAAATTACGTACATCGCCATTATGTGAATCAGCAGCAATTTGTCCATTTCAAATGGGAGCATTGAGACAAGATATATTGAAAGGAAATTTACCAATTAATGGCGGCCATTTAAACCTCTTTATGGGAAATGACTACATTAACTTTCATAATGGATGAAGAAAAGCTAATGGTCATGGTGGGAGAGCTCTAATAATAAGGGCAGAATCAATTATATCTGAGCTGTTATCAAGGCATTCAAAGCTGACTTTGAATGACTCATTCCTTCAATATAAGGCTTGAAGACACTGGAAGAAAAGCTTTAAAAAACAAGACTAATTGATATTCCCCAAATAAGACTGGGGGCGGGCCATAGTGCCACATGGTATTTTAGATGCTGCAACTTACATTTTCACAAAAGTGACTCAAACTCTGAACTTAATAATACATAGTAGTGTGAGTTATTTGTAAAATTGATCCATGTTTTCATAGGTGACCCAGATTTACAATAGGTCCTATAGAATTGGGGTCCCCAACCTTAGGCTATCGGTCAAAGGCCTGTTAGGAACTGGGTTGCACAAGTGGTGGGCAAGCAAGTGAAACTTCCTCTGCACATGTGTGGGATTTAGGTTGTGAGTGGAACCATCGCCCCCAGGTCCACAGAAAAATTGTCTTCCACGAAACCTGTCCCCAGTGCCAGAAAGGTTGGGACTGTTGCCATAGAATATGGTGTGGCTCACTCTGCCTTGTTGGCTGGAAGTGTGCTCATTAAAAACATTTCCAAATGTATCAATAATGCATATTCCGCACTCCCTCCAAAAAAACCACAATAAGAGGAGACCAAATGGATAAATGAATGTCCGTATTTTGGAATATCCTGTCAAATCAATCAGGTATATCTTTTAATACTTTACTATAAATGATTAATCTATAAATGTTTTTTCTACTGAGCACCTATCTCCATCGGTTAAATAAATAAACAACAAATTAACCAGTCAATCCATTGGAAGTAGTACGTTTTATCTGGCACTGCCAGATAAACTGAGCAATATCTTGAATTTTGGTCAGATTCCTGGGGGGGGGGGAATCCTCCCTCCAGCCCAACAGTCACCTTCTCTCTTGCTATAACTGCAAGTGATGGACATGAGTGTAGATCTATAAATCCCAGTTCTGCAATGTTATTAAGGAGAGAAGAAAACAAACTGACCTCCAAATGAAGAGACTGAGATGGAGCACTATGGACAAAGAAAGTGAAGGCCTGCCTCCACGCAGGATCTTTAGTGAAATTACAAGTCTGAAGAAAAAGAAACCAGAATTGACATCTAGACATTAGATGAAAGAGATTTAGGCTCCAAACCAGTTCACAAAGGCATACATCTAATTAGAAATGGATTAGAATTGCTCTATCCTGCATTCAAATCAACTCAGTTTTCCTGGGTTCAGTGGGACCTGGTTCAAACTGTACAGAGCTGTTCTCTAACAGGATGGAACCTTTGGTTTCCAAGATTTACTGAATTACAACTCTATGAGTGTCTGCCAGTACGGCCTATATGGAGGAATGCTGGGAGTTGCAGTTTAAGAACATCTGGAATTTGTACTATCTAAGGCAGGGCTGAAATGCTCTGAAGTCTGCTACCAGTTCACTGCATGCACACTGCAGGTGCTACCGCGTAGCTCCAATGATCAGCGATATTCCGCGGCACAGCTGATTGTAACACAACTGATCATCGGAGCTACCGGTTTGCCTGAGCTGGTAGCATTTTTTACTACTGGTTTGGGCAAACCAGTAGCAATTTTTACTACCAGTTCGGGTGAACCGGTCCAAACTGGTAGCATTTCACCCCTGACCCAAAGGAAACATGACTCCAACTTTATGTATCAATCACCCTGACTGCCAGTTCATTTTCTTTCACCAGAACTATTCAAAAAATTGTTTTCTATCTAGAAGGCCCACAATAGAATATAGGTAGTATTTGACTTACAACAGTTTGTTTAGTGACCATTTTAAGATACAATGGCACTGAAAAAAGTGATTTATGACTTACGACCACTTATGACCATTGCAGCATCTGCATGATCACGTGATCAAAGTTCCGAGTTTCTGATAGTTGCAGTGTCCCGCGATGACGTGATCCTCTTTTGTGACCTTCTGACAAGCAAAGTCAACAGGGAGGCCAGATTTACTTAACAACTGTGTTACTAACTTAACAACTGCAGTGATTCACTTAGTTGCTATGGCAAGAAAGATCGTAAAATGGGGCAAAACTCACATAACGAATGTTTCGCTTAGCAACATAAATTTTGGACTCATTTGTGGTTGTAAGTTGAGAACTACTTGTATTAAATATTCATGCTGAAATCTGTCAATTGAGTAATCCTTGTGTAATTGACGTTCTGAGCAAGGTGACTTACTTTGACCCTGAGGGAACAGGAAGAATTTTGCTCCTGGTGCAGAGGTTTTAAATACACAATGAACAAGCCCACAGTTGATCCTGAGACTGGATCAATTAATCCTGAATTTAAAATGGAGCAATAGGGTGTTTCCTTTAGGAATGATAATTTGCTACATCAAAAGCTGTTTCCAAAGAACAGCTCAGGTTTTGACAGGCTGGTTATAATCTACTCCCAGCATACAATCCAGACAGGATTTTCAGTCACCTTCTTCCTGCATAGGGGTACAGATCCCTGTCTACCATGTCAAATTCAATATAATGTCTGCTGGGGGGAAATCAAGGACCTCAGTAATTAATGCTTGGATGTACTAGCAGCTCTCAAAATGGAGCTTAGGGAAAGCATTCTCAGTCATCCAATTGTCTCAGAGGGTGCTTTTTTTCAAGTGGAAACTGGACTTTTTTTCATTGAGGAAGAAGATGACGGCATTTCGCTTCTCATCCAAGAAGCTTCATTGGTCCTGACAGGATGGTGGGAGTGATGGAAGGATTAGTTCTGACAGGATGGGGGGCAGGTGTTGGAAAGAGTATGTTTCTTTGCAGTCATATGATCATTAGTACTCTTCCTCAATTGGCTTCAAGAACTCTCAGAGAGAGTGCTAACGACCAGATGACTACAAAGAAATATGATCTTTCCAATCCCCCTCCCTCAATCCTGTCAGAACTAATCCTTCCATCACCCCACCATCCTGCCAGAACCGACAAAGCTTCTTGGATGAGAAGCAAAAGATGATTTTCTTCCTCAAGGAAAAAAAATAGACTAGTTGTTGTTTGAAAAAAAGCACCATTGAAACAAGTGTACCACATCTATTTATAGATGAATACCACACGTGTGGGAAAGGTGATCAAATATTTGCCAAGTGACTATACTGAGATCCAATAGTATTCATACAGTGGAGTGGCATTATATTCAGGTTCTTTACAGTTCATATATTTGGTATTTGATTCAATACCAAGTTCCTTCCTCTTCTCTTTATTATTTTTCACATCAGTAAAAATATTTGGGCTTTAAGTAGGACGCTTGAGGCTATGTGGCTGCATTTGCATCCACTGAGCACTTTTGAAGGGTCTTTTTCAAAACTTCTCAGTGGATGTAAATGCAGTCCAGCAGCCTCAAGCATTCAATCATCTGGGTTCAAAGTAGAAACCTCTGAAGATGTCACCTTGCTACGCCATTTGAGAAACATTGAGCTTTTTTTTAAAAAAAGCATAGCAAGTGTATTCTTTTAATCCATGGTGGCTGTGTGCTTCACAGGATATCATCCAATCTCTTCTTGCAAAATTACTTAAAATAAAGCAGAAGGGTTATTTTATTTATTTATAAAGTTTCTTTCTTTCTTTCTTTTTTATGATTAAAAAATGACCTCAACATGGAGATATTGGTTAAAGCAATAACCCTATCCTCAGATACTAATGTACCCCATAGTAGGCCAAGCATTTGTATGTTTTCTGTTGCCTTGAACTTTAGAAATCTGAACTCCATCTTGCAGTATTCCTCGGTTTTGGTCATGCTACTTAGGCTATTGGGCTATTCGGGTTCCCCAATCTTTCTTTTATCTTAAAAAACATTTTGGATACTTTTGAAACAATTTTTCAGGATGTAGTTATCTCAAACTCTATTTTACCTTATGAAAAAGAAGTTGATGTCTATTACCTTGCTTTTGTGAGTTTTGTTGCCCACTGTGAGCAGGACAAAGGAAGAAGGTTCTCTTTCTATCTTCTGTTGTGTTACAATTTTGAAATAAAAGGCAATATTAATAGCAAGATAACATTCACAAGAAACTTAAAAGAGAGAAAGGATATAACATTTACTCGATTGTTTTAAAAAGATTGGAAGAAGGGTTAAAAGCCTAGACATGAGTCAGAATTTAGTATTTACATGTTATTCAGCATTTGTCTTTGGCCACCCCAAATATATGTTGGACTTGTTTGCTGCTTTGAGTTATTTATAAAAATAATGGAGGCAGGAATACAAATAAATAAATAAAGATTGCCTAATCTTTATTTCAACATTGTTTTTACATGCTGTGCTTCATTTACACATTTACTATATTTTTTGTTCCATAAGACGCACCTTTCTTCCTCCCAAAAGTGAGTGGAAATCTCTGTGCATCTGAGCAAATATGGGTGACAGGCAGCAGCGGCGAATGGTGGCAGCGATCCCTACCACCTGGAACAGCTGATCGGCAGTATTCTGGGAGGCCAATCCAACTGCCAATCAGCTGCTCGGTGGTGAAGGCTCCAGCGTTCTCTGGCAGAGGCAGCAGACACAGAGGAGGCAGGCTGTTTGGTACAAAGATGCTAGCCAGATGAATACCAAATGGACGCTGGGAGCAGAGTCAGATATTCTTTTTCTTGTTTTCCTCCTCTAAACCTAGGTTAGTCTTATGGTCAGGAGCATCTTATAGAATGAAAAATACAGTATTTCAAATATGTAATATGAAATGGAAAGGTTCCAGTCTATTTATGGTGCAACTGAGGTCAACTTGCCCCTTTTGACCATCTAACTCAAGGTCAAACAGGGAGACGAGCAGATTAACAGCTCCGCCCAATTTAGCTGGGTTGAGAGTTAGCCTCCACTTAGCCAACAATGGCAGGTAAGTAGGTCATCTGTTCAGAAGGATGCTTACAACTTGATTTAGCTAGTTGTTGAGATTAGATTTTTCAGCCAGTGGATTGGCTGGCTCAGAACTGAAATCTTTGCCTGATGCTGTACCAAACATTATATCCATCACGTAGCTAATCTCTTGTATTTCTACTTTGCACAAATCTTGGCATTGAGAGTGTATTTGGAAGTTTTTGCATTTAGTACCCTTTTCTTTTAAAAAAATCTTTAGCATATATTAAATCCTCAATGTATTCAGTTCAATACCCATTCAGAAATAATATATATTTACCTTGAGATACCTGTCTTTTCTGTATTTCTTTGCTCCATATTCACCATTGGAATATTCCAATTGATTTTTCTACATTAGGAAAGGATTTTGAATGAAAAAAGAGTTTCAGAAAATTAAGTGACATGCAATGTAGGACTGCTTCTCCCAGAAGTCTTACCTAAGATTTATGTAGGACTATTTTCTATCTGATCTGTTTTATCTCAGTTGATTGGCTTTTTGTTTTTTTGGCCCTGTTTTAGTTTCTGCTGCTTTTAGTTTATTTTCACCCTTTTCAACTTAATATGTTTTCAAAGTTAGTAAATCAATTGAAGGGCAGTCCAAGACAGGCTAATATTAATCAGGAATGAAAGGTGTACTAATGTTGCCAGAAATGAAAATCTTAAAAGATAGCTAAAAAAATTAGCATGGATAAACATCTAGTAGGAAAAAAGTTGTTCTACCAATGAAAGAAAACAGCAAATGGTTGATGCCAATAAGATGGGAGATCCAAGACTGCTTAAATAAATTGTGGACAAAATAGGCAACCTGTGACTTTTTTGAAGTTGCTGAAATACAACTAATAGCAGTCCCAGGTAGCATGATCATTTTATGCAGGGAGTGATAAATCGACAACATCAGGAGGAATCTCTGAAAAACACATAAAGCTTAGAAAAGGGGAAAAGTTATCAGTTCATAATACTTTGCAGCCTTTTCATCTATCTCGTCCTGCTAATCAGATACCATTGATTCTCTACTTTGTCTTTTGAAACCCTGATTTCCAACTGTATTATACCCACAACATTGTTATTTGTTACACAGGCATATGTGCCATGCATTCTATCCAATTTTGACTGGGCAAGGCATCAAACCTATGTCAGATATATAGGTGTGCTTTGCCACTGCAAACCGCATTTTGTACAAATAGCGAGCATACTAAACATGTAAACATTTATGTTGGTGTCGCCTGAGAATATGTGGAAATGCTATTTATTTGGTTTACTTACAGGAAGGTTTAAAGCACTGTCCAAATACACGATGAGCATTCCGGTGGCAAGACCATTCCTACCCTACAAACAAACAATTGCACAAAAAAATAATATACACTTGTGAACCACTGCAAATATTTCAAGGCCCTCTTCCATCCCCTACTAACTGGAGGGTAATACAAGCATTGTATTCACACAATGGTGTGATATTACCCCAAACTCCACAGAGATGCAAATCCTGCCCAATCAATGCAACTGTATGTGCTATAGTGATGTTTTAAATACAGCTCTTGGAAGAAATTACACAAGATGACAGACACACTGGGCTATTCCCTATGTTCTGAATTCTTTCAGTTGTTTTTGCAGCATATATTTCTTCTCAAGTCCCAGAAAGTACTCACCTCACTAAGTTTCTCTTGATTGGTGACCAGAGAAAACCACTCAAGCTTTAAGTGGACATGCCCACTTTCTATCTTGCTCAAGGGAAACCACTTCACAAAAAGAAAGAAACCACATCAGTGCCAGAAATAAACATACATTGCATCTTTATTTTGACCCATTTTCAAGGACAAATTGAGGAACTCATTTATCTTGATATTTTATGGGACCTGCCTCGAGATGATATACAATGGTATAGTGCCATGATGGTGAACCTATGGCAGTGTTTTTCAACCTTTTTTGTGCAAAGGCACACTTTTTTCATGAAAAAAATCACGAGGCACACCACCATTAGAAAATGTTAAAAAAATTTAACTCTGTGCCTATATTGACTATATATAAAGTAATTCTCCCACGGCACACCTTACACTATGTCACGGCACACTAGTGTGCCGCGGCACAGTGGTTGAAAAACACTGACCTATGGCACATGTGCCAGAGGTGGCACACAGAGCCATCTCTCCAGGCACGCCAGCTGTCACCTGTTGCTCTTCCAGGTTCTGGCATGCACAAGCATGCTGACCAGCTGGTGTTTGCGTGTGGGGGAGTGCCAGAAACTGAAAGAGCAGTTCCCTGATGCGCATGTGCGGGCTGGGAAGTTGAGCTTCCAGTTTCTGGGACATGTATGTGCACCGGCCAGCTAGTCTTTGCGTGCCAGAAACCAGAAGACCAGGTGACCAGTGCACATGTGCACGCCAGAAACCGGAAGTACCAGTTTCCAGTGCTCCCATGCATGCATGCTGAGGAGCTGCTCTTCTGGTTTCGGGTGCTTCCCCAGGCCCATGCACACTCCCCATTTGGCACTCGGCACCAAAAAGGTTCGCCAACATTGGTATTGGGTTTTCTGCCTAAGCAGTGGGTTGGACTAGAGGACCTCCAAGGTCCCTTCCAACTCTGTTATTCTATTCTATATTAAAACCTGTTCCTTTTTAACTGTATTTGTTCAGCTGGAAAAGGGACAATGAGCCCTAATTTGAAAAACAGATGGCATTTAATTTTACAATAAATGATAGTACCCAAATAAATTATTTTTATGCTGCAGAAGGAAATGATAGTCCTCCACCCTTTTTAGAAAGTCTTGTTCAAGTTTGACTCCTGGCAATGTTTTAGACACATCAATCTAATTTTTGGCAATTATATGAAAGGGGCTTGTTCCAACCTCCCACCTACCACACACACAATGTTTTCTCAGTTTTGCAGCTCATCCCAAAACCATGCAATGCTGTTTAGGTTATCCTGAAAACCAAGTCAGCTGCCATTAAGAATTGGGGATCTTGAGGGAAATGGGCGAGAAGGGGATGAAACACATTCATTATATCCTGGGAAACAAGATAGGATATAGAAAGGCTCTTCCGGATTCAAAGGGATATAAGAGGGAGGAGCAATAAAGCACAATCAGGCCTGTAAGATTCTGTTCAGATAGTCCTTGATTTATGACCACAATTGAGCCTGGAATTACTGTTGTAAGCTGCACTGGCCATTAAGCAGATCATCACATGACTCTGCCCAATTTTATGTCATTTTCTGTGGTGGTGATGAATACGGCAGATTGTAAAGCAAACACTGCGGTTGTAAAGTAAACACCACAGTCATTAAGCAAACTTAATGTCTGTAATGGGCATTCTTGCTGGAAGCCAGAACTTCAAATGGTTGCTAAGCAACCAGTTGTAAGTCAAGAATTACCTGTATTGTATCCTGACTTAATCAAGAATAGTTCTAGAATTCATATGGAGTTTGTTTTCTGCTCAGGTCTGCTCTAAAGAACTGACCACTGCTACCTATCTGAGTCGTCCATGTTCTACTCAAGAGCAAATTGCTCCTCCATTTAAATAGTCTCAAAATACTAAGTGTTCAACCGATCCATTTAGTCTCTCAAGAATCAGAATAAGATCAGTAATCATTGTACTACATGTGCACTGATTTACTTGATGTGCAAAGATTCTTGTAACATTTGAACTGTATATTTGTACACATACATACATGTGGTGCCACAAATTCTCAGTATAATGAAATTTCCTTTTAAAACCAATGCTATCACAAAACTAATAATCTGTGATTTTACAAGACCCTGCAATCTCACAGGCATACAAACATTTCTAATTTTCCCTAACAGCAAGGAACATTTCTAATTTCCCTTAACATGCATGAAAAAAACCCTGTCCTACTTAGCATTTACCTTTGGTAAAACCTTATGTTTTTATAGCTGATAAGCCACTCATAAAATATGGCACACCTTTTAAAGAACTACTGTGATACATGTTAAGCCAAAACCAAAACTTACCTCGTCAACAATTCTATCTTTCATCACATCTACAAGGTTTATAACCAAGCTGTGAAAAAATAAAAGAAGTCACACAAAGGAAATCCTATGGGAGAGCGATATTTGTTTTCATAATGAACAACTACCATATGCTGCTATGGAGACTTATAGCACCTTATACTGAACTGTGATTTTAAAAAAAAATTATAGTACCTCCTGGAGTTCCATAAAATATTCTGGCTTGCAGTCTGTCAGCAAATTTCAAAAAAATCTCATAGATTCTAATAACTGAATGCTCCCAAGGAAGTTATTTGATCTTGAGCCTAGTTCAACAGTAAAGATTATAAAAAATAAGCTCTCTGCAGACTAATAATAACTGACATTTTTTCTTCTTCAATTGATGCAATATGCCTAGGCTGAAAAACATAGAGTTCTCGGAGACTAGAGTGCTTTCTTCACTTACAAAACCTAGTAATGTTGTATATTCCTTTTTTGTTTTTATTTATACATTTTTCTTTAACATAGACAAATGCTTAATAAGAAGTGTATTGTCTGAGTCAATTTGCAAATACATAATAATAATAGTAATAACAATAACAATAACTACTACTACTACATTCTTTACTTGTATATTTGCTGTATATTTCTATTGGATATTCTATATTAGAATTCTTTGAAACCACAGCCCAGTCCATGAGTAATTCAAGTTGAGCAAGGTTCTGCTCAACTTGAATTTAGGATTTATATTTAATAAGAGAAGAGACTCTTCCATTACAATGGAAAGAACCACTACAAATTCTATGACTGTAGGAGAAGAGGAGGCAGAGCCTAGGGGTGGAATTAAGAAAGAAATCAATTCTGATTCATTACATTCCCACAAGTGATCCAAGCCAGATTCCCCTTTAATTCTGTCAACTCTTATGTAGCACCAATTTAGTGGTGACTGTTAGTTGCCTAGATTTTTGTGTGTAGGTATGGACCATAAATCATCTTAATGGGAACCTAATGTGTGGTCCCTATACTTCATGCCTGGCAATGACTGGCTTAGTTGAAATCAGCATGTGTAAGTAGGGTGTATGGTGATAGACATGCATGTGCCATATTTACTAATAAAATAATCTGGAGTGATGTGCCAGTGACAAAACATCCAGAACTAACTCATAGTTTAGTGTTTTTTTCTAGAGCATAATGTCATGAGAAAGTAACATTTGGGCTAAACTTTAATATGCAATATTTACATTAAAAAGTAAAAAGTATAATTCTTTTCCCCCCCAATTTTTTTAATTTTAAAACAAACAAAAACATACATAATATATATATGTTACATATCTATTTAGCATGTCATTTGGTCACAAACATTTGTGCCACACCGCTTTCAATTGCATATAAAATCAGTAGTTATCAACCCACCATACGTTAATACACTGATTATCATTGTAAATCATATATTCAATTTACTCTTATAATTTCTTCCTTTTAAACATGTATTCTAAAAATTAAATTTATATATATGCTAACTATCTGTTACATCATTGTAAATCATATATTCAATTTACTCTTATAATTTCTTC